GCGCCGGCTGCGGCGGTGGTGGTGTAGTAAGTAGTCATTAGGAGAGTGATAGTATAGTAGTAGTATAGTAGCATCGTAGTAGTAACAGTAGTACAGTAGTACAGTAGCACAGTAGTACGGTAGTACAGTAGTACTGTTGTAGTAGTAGTAGTAGTAGTAGCAGTAGTAGTAGTAGTAGTAGTAGTAGTAGTAGTAGCAGTAGGCGTCGTAGTAGTAGTAGTAGTAGTAGTAGTAGTACAGCGACAGCACTGCTTAAGACAACATTGGATTTCGAAAGTGAGAGTCTTGGGCCCACTGCCTGAAAGCTTGAGCAAGACTACATTGGGAAAAACAAGAAACCAGATTATCCTGACCCAGTGGTCCGTTTTCTAATCAGAATTTTGCTCCTAAGCCTTCAAACCTCAACCAAACCTCCTTAGATAGATAGATAGACAGACAGATAGATAGAAAGAAAAGAAATATAGCATGACTCGTTTTGCCATGTTCGACGTGGGACTTTATTCGCAACAGGCGACTGATATTAAGAAAGCACTTTACCAGGCTACCCTGACTGGACAGATGCCCAAAAATTCGCCCGTGTAAGCAGCTTCAAAAACAAGAAAAGCAGACTGCCCTGTCCCCGGACAAGATTTGCTTATCCAGCGCTAGCCGCCGCCGTCGCCGTTTTTTGCTGCTGTTGCCGTCGCGGTTGTGATTGTTATTGTTCTTGTTGTCGTTGCTGTTGCTGCTGCTGGTGCTGGTGATGTTGTTGGTGCAGTGTTGTCGTTGTTGCTGTTGTTGTTGATAATGATGAGGCGGATGCTGATGATGGTGATGATGATGGTGTGGCTGTGGCATCACCAATTAGCACCAGGCACGGGCATGTAGACGTCTCGTAACTGTGTAGCACTCATCCTGGTCGTCGCTGCGATGAAGACTCGAAAAACAGCAAGAGACATCAGAATTTGAGAAACATAAACGATGAAATATGCGTTTATTTAGCTAACCGTGCGAGAAGTGCAAATATCGATGAGTGGTTCATTGATCACTCTGGATCTCTAGCCCGCAAACAATTCTTGCGAGTCCTGGGGTTCAACACAATGCCGGTGCGAACGACTCAGGATCTGCTTTCATGAAAGGTCTTGGGTCGGGACCCAGCATCGTCGTCTCCACATGGGCATGTTCGGGTTGCAGTCCTCGAAGACGACTCCCTGGGCCAGGATCTTTCTAAAAGGTAAACCCTATGGTGATGGCTCACTGTATACGGATAAGATATGAACTATGATGACCTGTGTGATGCGCAATATTACGGACATGGTGTCATAGCACTTTGAGATACTTGGAAGGCGCCCAGGCCTCGTAGAGGCTCGTCTCGAAAATACTCATTGCCCACATAATCGGTGACATGTAGTAGAAGGGCCTCGCTCGTGGCTACCACACCCCAGTGTGATCTTGAACATATGGCCACGCATGAAAATACTGAGTGCTTGGCAGCCAGATTCTGGGTATCTGGTCAAAAGGAATGACATATCCTGCCGTCTTATCAAACACTGCAAAAGGCCTTCCAAGACTGTTGCAGTCTTTGAAGCCACATGAAACATCACGCATCGTGTCCTGAAAATAGCGTAGCAGGAATGATGAGCGGCATCAGAACCTTGGATCTCTACGGCTAGCCGTCTCGGCAGTGGCAGTCAAGCCTGAACAGCCCTGCTGACACGATCGTTCCACTTTCGCTGGACGTCAAAATTAAAAGCGGTTTCTGGTTCAATGTAGCATGTGCGACGACATACGATCACGTAAATCGAAGGAGACAGACGACAAGGGTTGTAGAATGCAAGGCCGGCACTGCTCGATTGCCGTCAGCGTCTCGCGTTTTGGCTCCCACCTGATGCGTGGACATGCAGGCTACAACCACTCAGGCGAGCACATGCTGTGCTGAGGACTGAGGACCTAGCTGCGGAGCCAGCCACGCAAGCAAAAAGGAGTACCTCGGCCAAGCTATCGCACATGCAGCCCTTTCTCAAGAATTTGGCGGCAACATCAAACTCTGTGAGCGCTGATCTGCTTTGACGGCTGCTACTCAGGACCGAGCCAGGAAAGTCGTCAGCACAAACACCTCATAATTAAAAGAGCTGTCTGCCATTGTCTGCCTAACTTCCACCTCATGATGCACACATTGTCAACAACGGAAGGCAGCGGCGACAAAGGCCTATGGATGCTGCGCTGCGTGAAAGCAATGTCTACTCTACTGTCTTGCAACAGAGGAGCACCGAAGCGGTACGCATCCAACGGTAGCCCAATGAGCCTCAAGAGCTGTTCTTGACAAACTCTGGTCTGAAATCCCACGAAGAGCTTCAGAAGCATTCACGTCGCCAACATGCGGATGTAGGTCGAATATGGGACAACATGCAGTCCCTGCATGGATGTCAACTGTCACAAGTCTTGCTCGGGGCAGTGCAAGTACAGTGGCGTCGCCCATGCCTTTGTTCCAGCACGAGGGGGCCAAAGCTTCCTAGAAACAGCTGATCCACTCGACAACTGAGCTGCCCGTGGCCCCAAAATACGTCACGGCTTGCCACCATCTGCACCGCAGACG